AAAAAAATCAAATCGGCAAGTTTAAATTTACGCAAATCAGCCTCAACAGTGTCAATAGATGGGGGAATTTGGGGAGTTTACTCTAGTATAGGGTAGCAAAATTCAGCTGAACTAGCTCTGGTATAGGCTAAGGGTTCCAGTATCCGAGCGGCACATCCCCACCCAGAAATGCCCAAAGTACCCCCCCCCCCGGGGTTCCTCTACTGAATTTATCGCCTATCGGATGCCGTCACACGAGCAAAATGGCTGCACAGTCTTATTCACAAGGCCTCGATCAACACAAGTTTGTCGGGCTTTTTGGATATTCTGACTGGTTGTCTAGATATCAGCATCTAAAGTTGGAGTAGCTAAAAATATGCAAGACGTGTTGTGTAAATTGACGCCTCGGGAAAGATATGCTAAATATCCCAATTTCCCGACACAATTTCGTTTGTCATTATCCCTAGAATGTTCTGGCGAAAATTTCACGAAAATCCGTCAGGTCTGCATACCCTATAAATTGGATGTATTCCTGCCAAAATAAAATGCGAGATTTTAGCTCGTAAAGGTTCGCTTTTTGAGATTTTTAATACTTTTCTTTTGTGACTTACTTAAATTTTGTAAAATAAAAGAAAAAACGATTTTTTGTGCTGCCATAAAGTTGGGGCCGTTAGTGGAGGTTTGACTGTAATATTGTTGCAGCACAATTGCCGGGGCTAAACTGGACCACCAATAGCAACTACAGACACATATGAACCTAAAAAATTGCTTTACTCACAACCAGAGTCCCCCTTGACCAGGAGTAACGCATTTGCACAACGTGCGAGTGCAAGGTCGTGGGTTCAACACCCGCGGGAGATTCGGAGATTTTTTCTCTTCGATACTCGTTTTAAAGAGATAATTTATCTTTTAAATACCTTTAAGGGTTTTTCTTTTTTTCGTTTATGTTAGAACTTGATCTTGAGGACAGAGAAAAGTGGCAGTTCTCGATAGAAGGCCGCTATGGAGAAGTAGGGATGTAATATGTTTTGTTTTTTTTTCTTCCGAAGGCACAAACATTTTTATCTTTAAAACATGCTCATTGTTGCAAAGCAGTACCCAACACAATCAAAATATATCAATAAAACAGAAACCAACCAGAAACAGACAACGACGACGTGCGGTACGAATCAAGTTTTGCGACCTTTTACAATATAGCATAGTGTTTTGTATAAACTGTTTGTCAGTCGTTTGATTAACTGGTCGTTGTGGAGAGGTCATTTAGGTAGTTAGGGACGTGCTTGGGTGGGTGTTGCCGCTCTACAAAGGTTAAAATAGGAGTGAATGTATGGAGGCAAAACAATTTAAATCTTTAAAATATGTAGCATAGCAGTACCCAACACAATTAAAATATATCGCAAAGGTTCTAATTGTTAGAACCCATCGTTGTAATTTGCAAGGACACAGACTATGTTTTAAGATTGAATGTATCTATATCAGGTGACTGACCGACGCATCCTCAATAAACTATTTACACTGAATGTCTCGTGTTAAGGTAGTCAGAACTGAAACAAATAAGAATACGTACCACTCGGGATTTCGACGAATTCTCCTACTGGCGACGCGAGTGAACCGTCAGTTCTACGAGCTTGCAAAATAAATCCTTTAAACGTATTTGTTCCGGAGATGTTCACTTTGAGATTTTCTCCAGCAGTGTATGAACTGTTGGACACGCTGATCTTGAACGGTGACTCTCCAGTCTGCGCTTTGTTATTCGTGTGACGAGGAACCATGTCCTCGCACGTGCTCGACGGAGGACCACTGGAATACGCCCATATTCCGGAAAACTTCACAACCAGAACAAGTGAGACCTGAAATAAACGAACAAGGAAGACCATTTTGGGATTTGGGAAACCGGGATTACCTTGCGACTATGGCCTACATTAATGGCCTTAGGTGTCCAGTGGGGCACGATAGGGGATGAGAGAGAAGACAACACTCTCTTATCACTCATCCTCTCTAGATTTAGCCTACATGAAGTCAACATTCAAAATTCTCCCTGACGATCTCCATACTGTAACGATAAGTTTTTCCCAGGAACGGACGAGGGAGGCGCCTAATAAAATTCCTGTATCCATGCGCGAGTTTGTCATTGCTTAGCCTGCGTGGCAGGTGTTAGCGGGGGGAGAGAGGGAAACCAGAAGCGCGAAGTTCGCTTCTCTGGACTTCACCGTCCACAAAACACCGTAGGTCTTTCCCTGACTACGAATATAAGAACCTTTTTTCTAAGAGCGTTGAGGTTGAGATTAACCAAAATTTTAAGAACGTATTAAGAACATTCCTCAGGCTGGGAGTCGATTAAGAACATTTTTATTTAGCAAACATAAAATAAAGGCACCAAAAAAAATGTAAATTACGGGCATGTTTTGTATAACATTACTAGTAACAATGGTTTTATAATTACAAAATAACTGAGCTACTTCGCGCGCTCTCATTGGTCGATAGGTGTGTTTGGATGAGAGTATGTAAACACGGTTGTGACGTTTCAGATTCGCGCGTATTTTTGAGAATTATTTTATAAAAGCAATAGAGCACTTTTTCCGGGATTGGGAGAATTCTCGAAAGTTATGCAAACCCTCGACTACGTCTCGGGTTTGCATAACTGTCTCGAATTCTCCGAACCCTCCTCGTGTTTAGATGAGGCTATGTAAACACGGAAAAAGTGTTCTATTGTTCCAAAATAACTTCCACACCATCAAAGTCATGTTAATTTAAGAACATCTTAAGTACTTTTTCAGCCTCAAAAAGCGAAAAAAATATAAGAACGTTCAGCCTCAGCTCCATAATTAGACGTTCTTACAAAAAAAGAGTGTACTCTGAATTTGACGGGTTCCATTTCCCTTTATTAAGCTATCGGTATCAGCCCCTTCGGTATCCAGGGTATCAGGACGTTTCGTACCCAGCCCAGGGATAAAACAAACTAACTTGGTACACAACTTAGTCCAAATTGACGGAGTACGAATCGTCTAACTTGGTTACGAAACGTCTGAGTACTCAACGTCCGCCAAGGTTGAACTGAGACGACAAAGTTAAATTAACCGCCATAGCGACAGCGACAGCGGAATAAATGATTTTTATGCTCCTGATGCGATCAATATCCGCTGTCACGAACTCACCCATTGCGTTACATTGATATGTTATTCAAAATAATCAAAAGGGAAGAGGCTACTATTGACAAGCTTGCTTTGGTTCAAAATGTCAACAGATGGTACAAATGTTCTGCTTGTATAATTTTGAAGCATAATTTTGATTTACCAAAGTCCTCTGATTATCAGAAACAGCGCCAGAACCTCGCAACATTGTCGGCCCCAATCGACCTTCACGAATCTTCTTGAAAAACAACTAACGATATTCAGTTTCACAGGGAATACTTTCTGCATATATCGATGGATGTTGCATATGAATTATTAACTTTAACACATGGCGATCGCTTTTACCAGTAACATAGCAATACCAATTCAAAAGAAGCCGATGATGAATCGAAGTGTTCCTGAAGTGCTGAAGGCCTAGATCATCAGGAAGTTTTTTTTTTTCTTTTTAATTTTTTATACATTCAAAAATTTAAATACCAGCGTATTGTTAATATTCAGCAACATCCAAATAAAATTACTGGTCCTTGTTATAAACAGATTAGAATTATCGATCAGTTGATCGAAGTTCGATCTTTACTTCTAAACGCATGCAACGGGACAAACTAGGACACAAACCGCCAGGCACTTATTATGTCATCGATGGGCTGACATGCTAAAGATGAGTGCTAACTACACTCAAACATTATACAAAACATTACAGCAAATGTCGATATTCCTAGACTTACGAAAACATTTGAAAGAAACCAGCAATTTAAGTGTGTGAAAAACATCCCCTCTCCTCAGTTCTGTAATCACTATTGCAGTTAAAGCTGATACGCTTTGTGTGTTAACATATCGCTGCGGCCTACCTTGGCCATATGCTCTTTTCCGCAACTCGAGAATACAACCGTGATTTAATCGATATTATGCTTGTTGTAAATAAGACTTAGAAATGTAATTCCCAAAGACCTTCAGTTTCTTTAAATTACCTGTAACAAGAACGTCATGGTTGATTTCCACCTGA